CTTGATGGAGTCTTTTAAAAAGCTGCCGGAACTAACAAATGGATTTAGCAAGATTGGGAGATACACAATCATATACAAAAATCAGTTTTATTTCTATATAAGCAGTGAATGGGAATTGAAATCCTGTTTTAAAAAATACCATTTTTGCTAGCGTAAAAAAGAAAATTGCATAAATAAGAAGTTATTAGAGATCTGACCAAAGATGTACAAGACCTGTGCAGTGAAAAATATAACATATTGCTGAGAAATTAAACAAGAACTGAATAGATGGAGAGATACACAGTGTCTAGGGAAAGGCTTCAGTATTAAGATGTCAGTTCTCCCCAAGCTGATCTATACATTCAGTGCAATCCCAGTATAAATCCCAGATGGCTTTTTAAATAGAAAGTGACAAGCTGAACCTAAAATTCTTATGAGAATTTGGAGGGCTAACTACTAGATTTCAGATTTGTTACAAAGCTGCAGAAATCGTGACAATGTGATGCTTACGTAATGGCAGGCAAATAGATATATGGTATAAAATAGTGTTCAGACATAAACCCACACATTTATGGGTAACTGATTTTTGCCAAGTGTAAAAAGCAATGCAATGAGAAAAGGCCAGCCTTTTCAACAGATGGTGCTGGAACAATTGTATATCATATGACGTAAAAACACACATACACACATTTAAAACTTTGCGCCATTTACAAAACTTACTCAAAATGGGTCTGGCCTACATATACAACCTCAAATGATAAAACTTTTAAAAGAGAAAATAGGGGAGAATCTTGTCACCTTGGGATATGCTAAGATTACTTAGATAGGATACCAGAGCACAATCCACAAATGAAAAATTGATAAATCATCAAAACTAAAAACTTCTGCCACAGAGTGAAAAAAATACATGCAAAAGGAATTTTATCAAGAATCCGTAAAATATGCTCAAATCAATAAGAAAACAACTCAGTAGGAAACTGGGCAAAAGCTTTGAACAGGCACTTCACCAGAGAAGATATGCAGATGGCAAATAAGTACATAAAAAGATGTTCAACATATTTACTCATTAGAGAAATGCAATTAAAGCCACAATGAGATATCACAGCACACCTACTACAGTAGTTACTCAAATGAAAAAGGTCAGTCATACCAAATGTTGGTGAGGTTGTGGAGGAACTAGGATTTTCATACACTGCCAGTGGAAACATAAAACGGTTTACTCACTTTGAAAAACACTTCAGCAGTATCTTAGAAAGTCAAACATCCCTGCCATGTCAGCCAGTCTTCCCTACTTTGTAGGTATTTACCCCAGAGGAAAGAAAGCTTGTGTCCTTACAAACACTTCTACAAGTAAAGATGTATTCAACTCTATCTATTGCAATCCAAAGCTGAAAAAAATATTAATGTCCCATGAAAGTAAAAAGATAAATTGTGGTATATCTACACAGTAGGATGCTACATAGTACAAGAAAGAAATGTACTGTTGATACATGGAACAATATGGATTAATCTCAAAATAACTATGCTGAGTGAAAGAAAGCATACACAAAGTAGTACAAACTATTATTCCGTTTACAAACTGTAGTAGCAGAAAGTAAGTCATGGGGGGATGGTGTGGAAGGATGATGGATAGGAGGGAGTAGGGAGAGGCACAGAAGGGTTGACAGGGTGACAGATACACTGTTTTGATAGCGATGGTGATGTCAGAAAGTCGAATTATACCTCCATATGGCTGATGTTTATTTACATCTATCTACATATAAAAACACATCTGGAGGCCCCTCCACATATATATGATAGAGGGGACTCAGATTGAAAGAGACTTGAGAGGCATAGCAACCAAATGTAGTGTTTGGACTTTGTATCCTGAGTCGGACAAGCCAACTATAAAAAGACATTCTTGAGACAGCAGGAAACTGTATAATCTGAGTATTTGATAATGTGATTAATTATTGTTAATTTTGTTAGATAAGGCACAAATGAAGGCCCATGTCTGTTAGAAAGACATAGTGAAGACTTTATGGGTAAAATTATACAATGTTTGTAATGCGCTTTGAAATCCTCTAGCATGTTAAAGAGGGCAACATGAAAAATACAGGGAAAATATTGATAATTGAAGCTGGGTGATGGATACATAAATTCTGTGTGCAGTTTTTTAATTCTCCCTAAAATTTCTGTTTTTATGATTGTTTTTTCCTCAGGTTAGAATCCAAGGTCTCCCTTCTTTTAGCCCCCACCATACATACTCCTGCAGCCTCAGCACCTGGCTCTCACCGTGCAGGATCTTGTGTGTAGAGTGGCCATCTGTCCCCGTGTGCCTGTGTGCACCTATCTTCTCAGTGTAATAATTAATAGAGCCTTCTGATTCTCAAAGCACTCTAATTCTAACAATAAAATGTACGCCCACCCTAGTTATATCGAACTATAATTTTCTTCACATACCTGCACTTTACACCTGTTTGTCTTTACTAGACTGTTCTTTGTCCAGAATCCCCCTTCATACCCCAGCACTTTGCCTTATCTCACTCCTTCCTGCTCTGTTTTCCAAGCCTTAGCTCAGGCATCATGTCCTCAGAGACCTCCCTGACGTTGCTCCTCTGGCCTGTGCCATGCCACCTGGGCACACTCTGTTGTATAGCAGTCAGGTAAAATGTGCTTACCAGGCCGTCCCCAGTTCAGTTGGCTTTTCAAAATTAGAAGTACACTATCTTTTCATCTTTGGGTCCTTGGTGTCTGGCAGCGCTAGCAATGTCTAGCAAAGCATTAGATAAATCTAGCCTTAGTCTCTGACCCAACTCTCTCAAATAAATGAGAAGAACTCAGCCCTAGGAAGGAAGGTAAATACACCTTCCTAAGATCACACAGCATTGAAGTGGCAGAGATAATGTAGAGCTTGTGACCACATCCCTCCTCCCACACTGGGCAATGCAATGAACTCTTTCGAGGGCCAAAGGAGGTATCCTTTACTAAGACAGAGCTCAGACGTCAAATAGCGAGGGTCCTCGGAGCAGAATAGGACAGCAATTAGAGCTGTGGTGGTAACTCTGACATGTACAAGAAGTGGATTCTGACAATTCTATAATATTTCAAGTGCTTATTAAAATCAAAATGCAGTAGTGGTTATGATACCTGGCCTTTTAACTATTCACTTTTAATTATTCAACCAATATACCAAATCTAGGAGAAAGCTGACAGTTTTTCTAATTTTTCATTTGCTTTTTTTAGAGCCCTCATGTGCATTGACATGGAGAGTGATGTGTAGGGTGTTAGGGACATACATTTATATATTTTAAAATAAAGAATATTATTCAGCAATATCGCACTTCATATCTGTTTTTCTCTGCACTTTTCATAGCGTCGTCTTGGAGATGCAGCCAAGAAAGCCATCAGCAAGTTGACAACCAGAACAGTGAAGAAGGGTGACAAGGTACAGTAATGAAATAACTTTAACACTATAAAAATAATAAAGTGGTTATGCTTTTGATTTGATGGGCGAGAATATACCCTAATCATTGGGGTGTCATTTGTTATATTATTATTTTTCTCCAAGTATACCCTCCAATGCTTTATTTCAAACTAGCCTCTCATTGAAATCTTGTTCTTAGTATGCCTGCTGTTCGGAGGCCCTCGTACAGTTCTCTGCTGTCCTGGACTGTAACCGCTCGTGCCATTAATAGCGTCACTGGATGACTCACCATTATCTTAGCTGTGGTGTTCAACAGTTTTCTTCTGCCCAAACGTAGCATCCTTTTGGGAAGAACTCTAATGGGGCAGTTTGTACACAAAAGTAGCCGGGTATATGTGTTATCTTGCTAAGCTTCCTGAGACTGTACCACGTCTCCTTTGTGTCTTATTTCTTATTCTAGTAAAATGGGAAACTGGAGACCCACATTTCGAGGGAATGTCAGTTTACAAGGCCCTGTCTGTATAGGAGGCTGAGCGGTTTGCTGAAAGAGCACAGGATTGGGCCTGATGGCGAGGAGAACCGGTCAGAGAGGCAGTGACAGAGGTCGTGGCTGAGACCCATCACCACAGTTCCGCAATCAGATCTCAAGTTATGCTAGAGCCCTGCTTCCGCTCTGTAAGGACAAAAGAGCAACATAATGTTAGACCCCACATTCTGCACAGTCAAGGTTATCCAGAAAGAAAAATCTTCATTTCTAGAAGCATAACACCAGAACTCTCTCCTGCACACACCCAATTCTAATGTTTTAACAAAAAGATCTGGGGGTTCATTACAGATGGTTCTTCATTCTCAGTTTTACCACATTCTTCACTTGACTCATCTTCACCCCAGCTGCCTTGACACCACACATCTGGTTCTCCATGATACAGCTCAAACGTGGAGACATGGCCAGTAACTTCACTGTATGCTACAGAAAGAAAAAAGTGAAAACGCAGAAAATGTAAGCAGCATCACAACAGCTGCACTGTAACCCAAAGAGTGGTCACCCGTGTGACGCACACTCGGTGTGGTGGCCCTCAGCTGCCACGTTAATTTGCAGTTCCCTGGAGCTGATCTAACCTACCAATCCTACTTTGTCCCTTGGGCTAGCACAGAACAATCTTTCTGTATTAAAGCTAACACCTCTTCTTAGTGTGTACCTCCTAGACCTGCCAGGAGTTGTCCCACTGAAGTCAAATGGCAGTGACATGGCAAATAGTGTCACCTTTCCTGGCTTAGGTGCCTGGAGATGCTCTATTTTATGACAGTTCAGGGAAACTCACCCCCAGCCCAGAGGAGGAAGGAAGTCAGTTACCCTGGATGACCAGATGCCTGGCTAACTCCCCCTGACTCTCGGTAAAGACCCAGCTCCAAGGTGAGCCCAGGAGTTCTCTGCCCCAAATCTGCAACCGTCCTTGGGGCGAGACTCTAGGCGGCCATTTTCTGGGGCTCAGCTTCTTTATTCCCTGCACCTAGCCATGTGGTCAGATGCGCCTCCTGGGGAGTGCCCAGATTGCAGCAGGTGTGCAGGGACACCCACAAGACCAGAGTAGCCATGCCGCAAGAGTGGGGAGAGGATACGCACATGGGCCAGATGACAGCTGGTTTGAATCTTGGAAAAAAATTACGATTCTGATTTCTAAGATGTTTCACAAACAGAATTAGTATTAATTAGTACAATATAGTTTAAAAACAAAATAGATGAGCTTAGATATAATTTGGGTTGGTGTAGTTAAGCAAATGGAAGCACTAAATTTTTTTCATAACTTTTCACATTAGAGTCACTTGTTTCCTGTAGTTGCCACCGGACTTTTCTGACCTGGATTGTTTGCCCTCCGTTCAGGCACTTCTGACTTTGGCCTGTGACTTGGTTCCTGTGCTTTTTGTTTCAGGAAACAGAGCCAGATTTTGATCATTGTGCCGTCTGCATAGAGAGCTATAAGCAGAATGATGTTGTCCGGATTCTGCCCTGCAAGTATGTCACCTTTCTTCGTTTAAAAAGGAATGCAGTTTGTATGTCTCCTTCTCAGAATGGGTATCCCATGTGCTTTTGAGAGCTACCTCAATGCACAGGGCACGTAGTGGGAGTTGCACTTAGCAGTGAACTGTGCTCCCCTGGCCAGACTGATGCACAGGCCTTTCTCTGGTGATGAGAAACACAAGGTACAACCTCCGGACACATCCATAGGCTAAAGAATACTAAGGTCAAAATGGTTAATTCTGTGAGTTGTGTAGGTTTCAGAACTAGCCACTGTCCCTCTCCTCCTTGAATCAGAGCATGTCACTAGGCCCTCCAACAAAGCCTCAGCAGTGCTCATGCAGCCAGGGTGCCAGAACTCTGGGGATGCAGGCTGTCATTTTCTGAACCTGGGTTATGTAGTGTGGTGACACGGATAGGTGTGCCACTCTTGCAGTTTGCATTTCCTGTCTCCTGTGAGGTCAGGGTTCTCCCCGAGTTCACTAAAGGTAGTGAAGCCAACCATGTGTGCTAGGGCCACATGATTCATAAACGGCCAAGCTGACATTGACCTCCCTCCAAAAGGATGGTTGGTGTTCACCTACTGCCCTTCAGTGTCCCGCAGGAGCACATTTTCTTTATTTAGCACGTTGATTTCTACCGTGGTGCTGCCCCATGCTCAGGAGTGTGACACATTACAATACAGCTCCGAGTGTTAGTTGGAAAAATATGAAACCACCTGTTGAGAAGCCTAAAATCAAAGGTTTTTCCTCTTCCTTTGCCCTGTCCTTTACAACACATCCTCTCAACTCTAACAAGACTTCTTGCAATGCAGAACGTGTGAATGAATAAAGTAATTAGTAGCAGGTATTTTAATGAGCCTACTGGTATTATTTTACTTATTCACAAAGTGATCTATTTTGAGCCTAGAAAGACTTGTTTTCTATCTATTCATTCATCCATTCACTGTGTTATATGTCACATGTGTCTGAGCCCAGTCCCGGTAGAAAGATAGGTTTTTAAAAAAATTTTGGCACTTAAGAATAATTCCAGAAAACCAAGATTCTGGAAATCAAGTTGTTGTAGTTTATATATAAAGGAAGATCTATAAAACTACTTGTAAGCTGTTTCGCAGGAAATTAAATTATTTACTTACCAGTTTTTCTTCAGTTGAAGTATTTTACAGTCTAAAACATGAGGCAGAAGGAAATACACATACACATAACACTTACAGATCAGGAAAAAGACCAGTAGGGTATATCATAAAGCAGTCAGCTGTTACCTGCTTTTAAAAAACCTATTTTTTAAAAAATACCTGTTTTTACCTATACAGATTTCTTTTGACACCAGAATGACCAGGAAGAAAGCCATGTCTTTCTAAATTCTTCATCTTCCTATTTCAATTCAGAGGCTTAAGAACAAAGGCGCCCAAAACTGTTCATGGTCTGCACTAACATGAGTGTCTTCCTCAGGGGGCCTCAGCCCAGTATAGGAGATTGTGGAGAGCTTGCTTCCCATTTTCTCCATCCCTTAAGCATTGGCTTTTCCAAAGTTTCACTGTCAGTTCTCTTTTTTCCTAATTTAGTCCAGTGCTTTCTAAACCTGACTGCATTGGAATCAATGGGGCGCTTTCAGAAACACTTGCACAGGGCAGCCAAGCGCGTTGTGTTTGACAGGTACCTGCGTGGTTCTCACGGCCACCCTCATGAAGGTCCAGAGCTCTGGGTGACTTTAGCCATCTCTGTGGCTGCACCTACCACCCGAGGATTCATCTCAGTCTCTGTGTTTGTGGTCTGCATTTGAATATTAGAGTTTTTGCAGACTTCACGGTGTCCCTTTTGCTCTGGAGCAGATTGGTGTTTATTGCTCTCGCCTCTTAAGTCTCAGTAAGTTGTAGCTTTCTCTGAGCTGCATTGCACACACTGCTCAGCAAAACATTTCACCTCTCTGCAGTGGGGACATCATCATGATTCTCAGGTGTGGTAAAAGTTAACTTCGCACATTGAGTAACATTCTGGGGGACTGAAGTTGACAACTCTTGACCTGGAGCAGGGTTTCTCAGCCTTGGCACTGTTGACTTGTGGGACCAGATCATTCTTTGTTGGGTGGAAGGGCGGGGGGCCATCCTGTGTGCTATGGGACATTTAACAGGATCCCTGGCTCCAGCAGTAGATGCCAGTAGCACCCCCACCCCCAGCTCTGAGAAGTACAGATGTGTCCAGTGGAGAACCACTGACCTAAGATGGCTCCACACAAGTACTCATCTTTACTGCCATTCTTCTCCAAGCCTCTTATTGACACTGGATTCCTCTCAGGCACCTTCGAATTAACTCTTGCCTTGTGCTGCTGCTTTGTTCCCTCTGCCTGGATACCCTGTTCTACCCCCTATGTCTGTAGGTCTTTGACACAGAGCAGAAGTGGAACTCAGCTACGTCTTTCTTTTGCTCTTGCTGCCAGGCAGCTCTGGTTCCTCCTGCCTCCCAGAGGGTGCTACAGAGCCCTTCTCACTCCCTGGTTGGCTCTCTTGGCCCTCGCTCTTGGCAGATAACTTCACCATCACCTTCACAGAGAAAGTGATGGCTGTGAGACAACTTCCTGACCCAGCTTCCTGCACACCCACCCTGGCAGCTTTGTCCTGATGGGCCTCTGCATGTCAGCTCCTCCCTTCCAGAGGACCTTGCTCTGTTGACTCTCTGCTCCCTGCAGGTGGTGGTCTTTCTGTCTCTGCACATTCACGTGTCATTGTGCTCAGGCACTTCTTAGTCCAGTTTTCATAACTCTTTCAGTCCCATCTCCAAACATCACCCTACAGCTTCTGTCCTTCACAGCTAGGCTTGAAAAGGCTCTGCAGTCACTGTCTCCTCTTCTCTTACGTAAGGGAAGAAGAAAAGCTCAGGTGCTTCTGTGTGTGTCTGTCTGTCCTTAGTTTTAATGAGCTCGTCTGCAGAGGAACTAGACTCCTGTCCCTAGATAGCATGCCTCACTGATGGCTGGCTTTTGCATGGCCTTCGCTTTTCACCTTCTGCCATGTTAATGTATTGTAGACAGATGGCAGTTGGCATTGCTTGGGGACCTCCCACTTGTGTCAGTTGATCATCCTTTGGATGTTAGCCAACATGTCTTAGAAGCTGAAAAACTGTCACCTAATTTAGACCTTTTATTTAAAGGTCAGCCACAAAATTTTTTAGTAGTTAAAAGTACTTTTCATAAATGGAGTGCTGCAGCATAGATAAACATATCTGAGATGCCACTTTAGGAGCTCAAATGGGTCAGTCATCTGGCTGTTGGCCGAGGCAGCACTGTGACGCCCCCGCCTCATAGGGAGGGCCTGTTTAAAATGGTATGTGCTGCCAGTCCCAGCTGGGGGAAAAGAGTACTTGTCTCTGACCTTGAATAATCCTGGATCCTTTTATATTTGCCAGGTTCTTGCACGGCACCAAGAGGCTGCAGAGCTGTGAAAACAAGTCACCTTCATTGTAGACTCCTCACCCCACCCAGCGTGGTTCCTCTCACTCTAGTTTGTGCATGTGGGAGTAGGACAGGTCGAGGCATCATGTTTTAGTATTCTGGTTTTGTTTTTTTTATGTTCCAGACATTTCACATTCTGTATCCCAAAGTATTTCTTACAGGAATAAAGGACTTTGTTGAAGCTCTGATCTGCTTGTCCTTTTCACGTTTCACTGTCCTCAACATACCACTTGCTTTCCATCCCAGTACACCACTCAGCCCTAAGGGTGTTGGGTTCTTTTCTGTTTTTGTGTGTATTTTTATTGTTTTATTATTTTATCAAGTCTTTTGTAACTGTGGGAAGGGGCTTCTTCTCAAGGTCTGGCTGGCCCCAGGTGCCACCCTCTGAGGTGTCTGGATGCTTGTGGCCTTCTGCAAGCTAGTGAGAGGTCACTCTGGTGCTGGGCACCCTCAGGCGCTCTGACTGTTTACTGGGATATTGTGGAAAACGATAATGTTACTTTGCCTGAACGTATGTTTAATACCACCTTCCATTTGCATATCCTCAGTGCTGTTCTAAGTATTCCATGTACAGCTTCTCACTTACTGCTCCAGATAGCCTTTCCTCCTACTCCCCCCACCCCGCAGCTTTCAGATGAGACGGCCGGGAGTCAGAGAGGGTGTTCGTCCAGGTTAGCCAGGAGGAAGGGAAAGGCCGTGCTGAGCTTGAAGAAATGGTAGAGCTGAAGAGGTAGAAGCCAGAGGGTGAAGAGAGTGGGTGATGAAGAAAAGAAGAAACAAGGCCAGGGCAGTTATTCACCAGGATTCCATCGGTGACCTGAAGGAGAGTGATGGGCTTGTGTCAGAAGGGCCAGTGATGAAGAGGAAAGTTGCTGGGTTGTTTTCAGAAGAGAGGGGTGTGCTCTGGAATCAGACTGACAACCTCCGGATTGGAGGTTGGCAGGGCAGTTAGCCGATGGGCAGGATTGGGGTTGGGCAGCTGCGGGGTGGACAGATGGTCAGAAGGAAAAGTTGTTTTTAAAAAGGAAAATACTTCTTTCAGATTTTGAGTTATCTAAGGAAGGGAGGCTTTCTCGGTTTGTCCCCAGAGAACCAGTTGGTCTTTGTTGTTCTCCATTACTGTGCCCCATAGCTAGGGGCCCAACACTTTCTATTGGTCAACAAACCTACAAGGAAACAACCCCAATACAAGAAAAGTCGTGTATTTATGACTAAGGTTTAAAGGAATGGGTATGCAGGGAACACTCAACCCTTATAACTTTAAAAATTAAATACGGCATTATACCGTTTTGTTCTTTCTGAATAACTAGTAATAGAAAGGCAGAACAATAAGAAAGGGGAAAGCCATTGACCCCCCAGGCCACTGCAGCTTATTTAAACCGAGTTCTCCACAAGTATCTGGTTAAAGTCGGCTGCCACAGCCATTCCTGCACCAAAGTGGCCCATCAGAGAGCACCTTGTCTCTTCTGTCACCTGTCAACCGGCCAAAGTTCATTGTCCACTTCCTACACAGAACTGGCCTGGAACACCTTCCCATCTACCCACTCCACCCATTGCTGACCAAACCCTCAGCGGTCATGGGCCTCCCAAACCTGTGCCAGACATCAGGCAGATGCACCCTGTCGTGGGAGAGGTTGTCCCTTATGTCAGACCCAGAGGGGACTGTGTCCCCAAAAAGAATTAAAAGCCAAGTCCTGGTCTTTGTTAGACTAGCCAGCCTGGCACAGTTGACAACTGCTGGGGAGCAGACCGAGCCCTGAGCACACCCCTCAGGGGTCCCTGTAGTAAAGAGCCTCCCCCTCGCTCTGGGAGCGCTCTCAGATGAGGATACGAGGAACAGGACTGGGACATGAGGCCTTATGTACACAAGTGAATTTAGGTCGAGACTACGGTTCGGTGACTTCCACCCCTTAAGTAAAAACCGTCAGGTTTAAATAAGAGCCTTCCAGAGTGATAAGGCTCCAGTTCATTGCATTATTTACAGGTTTCAGACTAGACTGACAAATGCCTCCTTCAAGGCCTTTATTCTTACCCCAAAGCAAATGGATGCAAGGCCATAGAGTGGCAATGGGTGAGTGGGTGGGTGTCATTCAGGCTGAAGCTGTCAGCATGAGCGTTTCTTCCAAATCCCAATTAAAACAATGAGTTTTCTACACCTCTTTTTAAAATTAACCCCACATTTTTTAAACGGCCGCATGTAACTTTATAATCTAGATAGAAATTATAAACGACATTTTAAAGACACATGATGATGCAGTTTATTATCTTTCTTAAAATTTCTTTCATCTCATCACAAGACTTAGGTTCTAATTCTTCCAGAGGTGCCTGAAACTTCTGTCTTGGCTCTGGGACTCCCCGCGCCTTCACCTCAGCTTCTTGGCGCTGCCGTGCAGGGAACTTGAGCTGAGAGCAGTGATTGCTGCAGTTCCTCCAACATCTTTTCTCCCTTCCAAAGGGCTTGAGCTCCTTTCCTAGGAATGTAAAACCCTCCATAGCTGACTTCCCATCACAAGGATGTGACTTTCTATTCTCCTAAACAAGAGAAAGTCACCTATCCTCTCTCTCCCTTTAACATTTCAGCTGAATACTGCTGGCTAAGTGTTATCTGATTCGTAAGTACAGTTCATCCCTAAAGATAGCCCCAACTACCCTGTAACTTTTACAAACATATAGCAAAGGTTGCTAAGAAGTCCTTTTAAGTAATGTTTTAAGTGACATTTAAACAGAGTTCCATGAAACTAATAATTACACACAGAACTCTTCATTTAACCCTGAATATCTTTTTGAAATTTATAAGGTGTAGTTCATTGTCTTCATTCTTAATAAATTGCCTAAGTTTCTTCAAATCTTTTTTGGAATTTAGTAGAATAAAAAGACCAAATAGCCAAATGCTACTTATGAGTTCTCATTATACAGTCCTATCGATATGTAAGATTGGATTCAGGAGGTTTTCTGCCAGCTACTTTTTCATACAATTTCTTTGCATTTTGGTCTAATGATTTTTTAGTGTATAATTTGTGATGTAATTCTCGATTTTTTTATAGGCATGTTTTTCACAAGTCCTGTGTGGATCCCTGGCTTAGTGAACATTGTACCTGTCCTATGTGCAAACTTAATATTTTGAAGGCCCTGGGAATTGTGGTATGTTTCCTATTTTGTTACTACTTTGGGGAGTATTATCTCTACCTGTAACATAACACAGCAGGAGTGGATGGTTATGTCTCACAAGGAAACGCTGGCTTTCTCTGCTATGTAGCTTCTTTAGTCCAATCGTGCGTTTCTTCCAGAATAAAATCCAGCCAGTCTGAGGGAACTCCTGGAAGAGAAGCAGAATTATGCTAGTCTGCTTTGGAGCACACTTCTGTTGGGTGATGGGTGTATGATGAGGAAGTGAGGTAGAGAAGGTTGGGATTCTCCTTCATTCCAATATCTTTTTTATTTTAAAAAAGGAATAGAATATAGACTTTTGGCTCCATTCCAGTAGTAATTTTTTCTGCGTTCAGCATAATAGAAAACTATGTCATCACTTGTGTTCCTTCCTCTTGAGTTCAGCTTTCCTGGGCGTCAAGTTGCAAGCAGCGAAGGTGGCAGTGCCAGCCCTGGGTGAACCGTGGCAGCCTGGCAGGGGCTTAGGTCAGAGGCCGTGGGGGGCCCTTTACCTCTGGCCGGATGAGTCAGTCCTGCCAGCCGAAGACCTTGGAGACTTCCTACAGTTCCTTCCTTAAGAGAAGGCTATATCCAGGATTAACGCTTTTTAGAAGAAAATGAAATACTTTCTAGTCTCAGAAAAAGTGTATGAATAACCTCCTTATGGAGCGAAAAGTTTAATTTGACCCAACCGATGAATTCCTCATTTTAGCCTGGCAACCCAAAGAAGATCTGAGTATTTCTGTTAGAGATACGCCATCAGATGACAGTTTAATTGCAGTCCCAAAATGGGCATTCATGCCCCATTTACTTTCCATCTCCAGAGATCACATGATATCAGTGACGTTATAGTTTGACAAGGTTCCTCTCCACTGGCTAGCAGCATCCCCGGCCTCTCCTAATGCCAGTAGCACAACTCCCCGGTCACACAATCAAAAGTGTCTCCAAATGTCCCTTGGGGGGCCAGGTCACCCCCATTTGAGGAGTTTAACACAGACTTGCCATAGTGTCTGGCATGTAGCAGACACTTAGGGAAGTATTAACTTAGCCTTTTGTTGCCTCCAGCCTTCTTGGTGTTGTTTTAAGTCTTATTCTTTGAACTACTAATACTTTTCTGTTCTTAATGAAAAGCTTTCTGGAATGTCTTAGAAGCTACTATCGTTCCTTAAATATAAAAAAAAATAATAAACCTAAGTAACTGGGTGTCATTACCAGCACCAGTTATTACACTCTGCCGTGATTTTTTTTTTTTAATTGGGCTTTGGGGTGATCTAGAGCAACATTCTTTTGCTCAGGAAGCCATTTGTGTTGGATTTGGTAGTCTGTCACTTCTCTGTGTATAAGCTTCTCCCAGCCACCTTTCCCAGCTCTGCTTCTAATCTGCTGTCAGCCGAAAGAACCAAAGGTTGCCAGAGAAACCAGATATCCATATTGTTAAATCAGAAGACTTTTGAGTCCACTTTTTAGTCATTCTCCAGCCCCAGGATGGCTCTACACCTCTCCTTCAGGATCAGACACTTAGGTTTTAAAACAGCTTTCTTAGGTTCAAAAGTCTTTGTTTTGTGCTTTACTTGTGTTTAAAAATAGAAGATATTTAAAAACTGGTGGCCAGATAAATGGGGTGTTATAGAGAAGTTAATAGGATCAGAGGGATATTTTACGTTACCTGCTGTCCTTCAGCGTTAACATAGAGCCAGAGTGGTACACTTGGCTGTTTGTCAGCTTCATACTAACAGTAATGATCCGCTCTG